TGCTATTTAACATCTACATGAAACCACTGGGAGAGGTCATCAGGAGGTGTGGGCTGCAGAATCATCAGTATGCTGATGATACCCAGCTCTACCTCTCTTTTTCAACCAATCCAGGTGAGGCAGTGGCTGTACTAAACCGGTGCCTGGCCAAGGTAATGGGCTGGATGAAGGCCAATAAACTGAAGCTCAATCCAGACAAGACGGAGGTCCTGTTGGTGGGTGATTTGGGCTCCGGGGTAGGTGACTTGGACTTTGTCCTGAATGGGGTTGCACTCCCTCTAAAGGACAGGGTCCGTAGCTTGGGAGTGCTCCTCGACCTGGAGCTGTCTTTGGAAGCTCAAGTGACTGCGGTGGCGAGGAGCGCTTTCCTTCAGCTTTGGCTGATCCATCAGCTCCGTCCCTACCTGGAGAACGATTGCCTGGCGACAGTGACACATGCATTGGTTACTTCCTGATTGGACTTCTGAACGCGCTCTGCATGGGGCTGCCCTTGAAGATGGTCTGGATACTTCAGATGGTGCAAAATAGAGCTGCCAGGTTGCTGAGAGGGACTGGGCATTGTTCTCATATAACCCCAGTCCTCTACCAGCTTCACTGGCTCCCCATCGAAGTCCAGGCCCAATTCAAGGTGCTGGTTATCACCTATAAAGCCTTTAACGACTTGGGACCTGGATATCAAAAGGAATGCCTGCGGCCATATTTGCCCTCCCGCCCCTTGAGATCGGCAGCAGAGGCCCTTCTCCGGGAACCCTCCGTGAAAGATATTAGGAGGGTGAGTACCCGGAGGAGGGCTTTCTCTGCGGTGGCGCCCCACTTGTGGAATGCGCTCCCCAGAGAGGTCCACCTGGTGCTGTCATTATTTGTTTTTTGGCGCCAGGCCAAGACCTTTTTATTTAAACAATATTTTAATAATTATTGATTTTATTTATTGGTTTTATAATATTGAGCCAGGATGTTTCCAGATTTTATATTTATATGTATGTTTATATTTTATATGGTTTTATTTATGATGTTGGAAGCCGTCCCGAGGCTTATGCAAATGGGATGGCATACAAAAATTCCAAATAAATAAATAAATTTAACTCATTCTTCAAACCTGCTATGCCCACGTTAAGATTTGTGGAACACTGCACAAGACTTGTATGTCACCCCATTGTCTAATACGTACAGAGAGACACTCCCAAGATAGACAGGGATACATTTGTCCAAATCTTTCCATAAATGTTAGGAATCCCCAACCTGAGCTGTAATACTGCAATCTGTCCGAATCTTTCATTTGATACTGTTACTGATTTAAACAGCAATCACAATTAGGCAGCTGAAAAGTCATCATGCTACATGCCTTACAACTAAAGTCCTTATACATCTATGAGATTTAACAGCATTAAATGCAGCCAGAGTGCATTTTCAAAAGCTATAGACTTTGTGTTATCACACAGAGCAAAGCTTCTTATCTATCTAGAGTTCTTCAGTCCAGACCCTTCCTTATTTCTGATATGTATCTTCCGCTACTTTATACCTGCTTAAATTACCATTCCTATGCAAGGATGGAAGCATATTTCAAATTTTTAGATAACAATATGAAATTTTAGGAGACAAAAAAAAAGCAACATCTCAACACTGAACGTAGCTGGAAAAGGTAAATGCCAATTCTTTCCAGCATCACATTTTTAGGAGCATGGAAATGCAGACACACAGGTATGCTAACTCATTTCCACAGATGAGGCCACACTTTGCAGGAGTCTTGCATGTAAGCATTAGCCTGGTAGTCTCTGCCAGAGGCAACCAAGAATTCCAGGCAGACAAGTGAGCAGGTTAGGAAGGGATGGAGCATTCCATCTTCTCTCTGCACCTAGCACAGAAACCAAGTGGGCTGCTTAGAGGAGGGAAGCCCCACCCACCCTCTACACTTCCAATAAAAACACAGTTCTCCACTCTTTCTCAAATAATCCCCTACAGGCTAGTGATCTTTTGTAAGCTTACATACAAGGCTTGACAGAGGCCTTTGGATAGATCCTGCACCAAAGGTAAGATAGTGTCGGTGTGCTCAACCCTGCTCCTTACAATACTAGAAGAAAAATGTGCAGCTTAGCCCCCTGCTTTTTTACATTTCATGAAAAAAAAAAAAAAGGAGAGCACTTTGCTGGATAAGATGGTGACAGTCCTGTGTACTTCCTGTATTCATCATGAATCTCCTGCCAGTCAAATCCACTGATCGAAATAAAGGTCTATTTGGTCCAGTAACATGTTTCCTGTACTGGCCAACCAGATTAACGCTAGAAAGTCCACAAATAGACATTTTTTCTCTGTTGCATATGTCCTATCTTTCTGTACACTAAAAACATCTATCATGCTACCCCTTAGATAGCTATTTTCTAAACTAAGCATTTAGAATGCTCTCAAACATTCATTGACAAAAGCCACATATATGCCACGTGCTTGTAAATCAGAACCTTCTGGGGCTGGAAAATCCAATATGCAGTGGAGAGTCACAATGCAATGGCTCCACTCCAGTCCATGTGGCAATTTTTATGGGGGAGGTTGCAACAGGAAATTAGTTTCCAGTGGCAGGAATAATTGTATGCTCGAGTCCTTAAAGTGGAAACACAACACAAGGGAAACACAACCCTTTTAGAAGAGTGGTGTGGGGAGAAAAATAGGATTATAGTAATTTCATCCATAAATACTGGAATTATTCCACTATTTTGATAAATGCTGTTTGAATAACTTACATGCTGAGGATCAACACTGCATCTTAACCTTCACTTGTACACACTACTACTGATATTAAAAGACACAGGATCCATGCATTAAACTCACAGAAGGAAAACGTCAACACAGCAAAGTTAAAATGCAAATTTGCCACACTTACACGAACATCTGAAGCCCCCTGTTCCTCTGGAGAGATTTGTTCTGAGCAGTTCTGAAATTTGTATATCCAGTAATGCTTTGCAGTAATTATGAAGTTTAAAGGCAAAAGAGAGCTGGTCCCCAGAAGGAAGAAAATAATATAGGTGCTATTCCAGTGATCGTCAGGCTTGCAGAAATCATATCGGTCTCCAAGTGGCTCTTCCAACAGTGCTGTCTCTTCTGGGCCACTCTTGTTCACTGGCTCATATAATGAGTTAGTACTGGGATAGTAACTGTCCTCCAAGTTATCAGCCACTTTCAAAATAAATAAAAATATATGTACAAATTATTATCCATAATATAGCATTATGACTAGCCTTTTAGCCCTCAATGACTTGTAGAACTACCAGAAGAAACTCCCCTTATCAGAGCCACTACAAGGTTTGGTACTTTCATGCTGGTGTCATGCAATACACCTAGAAGCTGCAAGGCTCAAATTTTGTTTCTGCTGTAAATTCACAGTTTACAGTTTGCCTTAGGCAAAATGCTGTACTCTCAGCCCTGTCCAGATAATCTACAATGTGGGAATAATGCTACTGACCTGCTTTATCAGGTAAGTATGAATTACTGAGAGTGTATGTGTATGATGGGTTTTTTTTGCCAACTCAACACTTGATAGAAATACTTATGAGCAACATTAATAAGTTGCAGTAACAGTTCCAAGCTTCCCAAAGACACTAGTGTTAAAATGACAGAGACTTCTTGCATTCAAAGTCTTTCATCCTCCACAATAGAAGTGGTTAGCTAGAATGTCTTTATACATAACAGAACACTGTCTGCTGATATCCACTAAAGCCCAAACAGGTCTTTAGAAGAGCCTGTTGCAACATGTTCTTATAAAAAAGGGAATTTTTGAATATATTTTGTAATATGACTTATTAGAAGACTTGGGCACATTTAGGTTATTATTCTCCATAAGAAACAGCTGAACTGTTAGCTGCCTTGAGTCATTAGATGATATGCTATACAAAAGCACATAGGAACCAGGAACTTCTAGATGTATTCGGACTCATATTCCAAATCCTGTCAGGCCCAGCCACCATGGACAATGCTCAGGATGATGCGAGTTGCAGCCCAACATCTGGAAGTTTGCCTACCATATGGGATTTTTATCATACAAATACAATAAGTAATATTCTCTCCAATATTCTCAACCCAGAACAGCAATAATGTGACAGGGGCCAAACCAAGCAACCCATTCTCTCAGATGTAAAAATAGGATTATTCTAGCCTGTAGAAGCTAGTAGCTGGTGTGGTGTAGTGGTTAGAATGCTGGCCAAGGACTCAGATCTGGCTTCTAGTCCCCTCTTGGCCATGATGCTCACTGAGTGACTCTGGGCCAGTCACTGACTCTCATCCTAAATCTACTTCACAAACATCAGAATATCCAAAACATCATAGGGGTGCCAGTTTGATGAAGGCGATTCCAGTTCAGTTCAGCAATCCAGAGTGAACAGGGAAGCAGGGAACAACAGAAGACATACCATTCCCCATCTGTGTAGCTGAAACAGTACACTCTTCCAGAGACCAGAATGGGCAATATGACTTCTTTCATTGGGACAGTCATTCAGAAAGACGTGCAGGCTTTTTGGTTATATATATGGCCAAAACTTGATAACACACAAAGAAGGAAGTTAATTTTTTTGGACATTTTTTAAGCAAGAGAGAGATGCTAACTGGATGCTGAGCCATGGCTTTGTTGGGCTGTAAATACACCCTGGACTCCTGCCAGAAATTTTAACAGGAGTGAGGAATCAAACCAAAAGCCTTCTTCAGCTCCAGAATGTTTAATTCTGACAAACATTTGACCTGCCTCAAGATTTCAGGTTTGTACACTCCCTAATGCCGCTACCCATTCATTTGTACTGTCTTTCTTGTGGTGTGCAAGGGGTGGCTAAGATAATAATAAGGGTTTACCAAATAACCTGTGCTGAAGCCTCCCCTCCGCCCACACTCACAAAAGAAGGAAGGAAGGAAGAAAGGAAAGAAGGAAGGTGAAAATTTCTAGAGCTGAACATTTCTAGGTGGAGCTTCTCGACTTTACGGCGTTTATGGGCACCTTTCCCGGTCAGGGGTGAAGCAGGGACGGCGAGCTGAGAGAGAGTCAACGGGTCTGCGACTCGTCTTAAGGATACAGCTTGCGAACCGGAGGCCCTTAATTCCAATTGTAGGGGGAGACTTGTTGCGGGGAGGTTAGCACGGGGCATAACGGGAATAGGCACATGTTCCTCAGAGAGTGAGTGAGTGAGTGAGTGAGTGAGAGAGAGAGTGTGTGTGTGTGAAAGAGAGAGAGAGAGAGAGAGAGAGAGAGAGATTGATTGATTTTGGGGGGGAGGGGTGATGGAGTTAGCGGGGAGGTACAAGCACACTCTGCACATGTTCAGAGTTCTCCCAACCCTCACACTATGCGAAGGCTTTTCAGACTCAGGTTTCGAGACTGAGGCGAGCCTACAGCCGGGGGTGTTGCGGGAAGACGGAAGAGCAGACAGGGAAAGCCGCGAAAGGCGAACAAAGAGACGGAGAGCCAAGCGTTCGCCGGCGACGGCGCCAGGCGAGGAGGCTGAGAGCCCCGCAGAAGAAGCCACTTACTATCGCCGGCCCTCTTCGCTTCCTTCTCCACCCAGGGCCGCGGCCCAGCCCAAGCTCCGCCGGGCCTCGCAAAGCCACTCCCACCAGCCGCTCGGCGCCGCCCCTGCTAGGCGGGACCGCGGCGGAAGAAGGCCGTTCTTCTGTTCCTTGGCGGGTGGGCGGCCCGCTCGCTTGCAGCAGGTGCTCGCACCTTTGTGTAGCTGCGGTAGCCACGTGCTCCTTTAACGTTGACCCCGACATTTCCAGCCCTGCTTGGGTATTCCCAGGAAAGCCTCAGCGCACTAGCACAATTTAATAACATTGCGTCAGCAGCGCATCGAGGACGCCGATCTGGAACCGCTCCTGTCACGATCGTGGATAGGCTCCTGTTACAACAGCTTTGCTTTCCCTCCCGATTGCCAAATTACCCTTGCCTTGAAGAGCCTCTCCCTTGCAAAAGAGCAGGGATGCAATGACTGCCCCTCACCCTTTTGTAGCGCTCAGGTTTCTACGCATCTAAACAGGCGCAACTTCTTTGGTGTTTCTTTTCTTTGCGTACTTAGCTAGAAGCCTTGCACACCACTTGAGCAGTACTCGCTTCCGTGTAATAAAACAAGGCGAAGCTCCCTTTTCTGGCTACCGGCTGGTTCCACTCCTCTCTCCCCGTATAAGGGCTGCGGGGTTGGGGAGAGGAGGAAATCGTTGGCAAAGCTCTTCTGGTTATCAAAGAAGTCTTCCTGGGCACTTCATAACAACGCCCCTCTCTTCCTGTGAAGGGAATTTACAACCCGCTTTCCTGAATTCCTTCTTTAACGTGATGAAGATGTTAATCAAGATTAATCATTCTAAACCACTGTGGGAGGGTGTTGTTATTTTTTTTCTTGGCAGAAGTTTGGGCTGAAAATGTAAATATGAATAAAAATATTATCCCCATGCACATGGCCGGTTTTCCCCTCAGGCACAAACCCTTGCCATGGTTCACAACCACTTATCCAGAAAGTAGACGTTGCTGCTTGGAATAAGGCCTGCCATCAACTTCAGTGTTGGAATAATCAGTTATGTATAGGAGGTGGAGGGGGAGTGCCCACTTCAAATTAATTCATTTTATTTCTTCACTTCCTTGGAGGCATGACATAGCTGAATTTCATTTGCAAGTTACTGATTTGCCTTAGCGTTTAAATTTAAACCAGTCACCTTTAAGGCAAGGTGAGATTGTCAAAGGAAGAAGAAAGGTTGCTTTTTCATTTTTATTTATTACCCCTCATCACTGCAGTCTAGTTCTCAGTACACTTGTGCCTGTACCACTTCAGACTAAAGGCTGTACCACTTCAGACTAAAAGGTTGAATACTTCTCTATACCCCGTGAACTAAAATCAAATCCATGCAGAAAGAAAACAAGCATTTCAGGGAGAAATGTTTGTTTCCAGACATCTAGTGTTCAAAAGATTGTGGGAGAAGTGGTGGGGCAGGCCAAAGGACACCTTCACCAGGCAGTAGCCATTCCATCAGGCTGAAGCAAGAGAAGTAGGGCCAGACCTTTGGTTTTTCCAGGAGGCCAGCAAATTTTGGCTGTGCCCCTCTTCTTGTGGAATGGCTTCTATACCAGCTATTACAAGAATTTTATAACTAGGAACAAGTGCCAGAACAGGGCTGGTTCTACCATCAGGCAGAAGACTCTGGGTGATACAAAAGGGTAGCAACCATATAAGGGGAGTATAATCTTGGCAGATTAATTTTCAATTTCTTTCCCAATTATGTCTAACATGGACCCCTATGACCTCAAGATTTCATAACCTATCTGCTTATTCCTGAAGTTGGCACCTTTTGCCCCAAATGTATTACTTTAGCTGTACTGAATTGCATCTGTTATTTTCTTGCCCGTTCTTCCAGTTTGGAAGAATCCTTTAAAGCAGCTATTTGTCCTTATTTATTTAGCCCAACTCATCTGGAGAGTATGAAGTTGGGACTGTCCCATAACTGATGAGTGCAAGAGATACTCTTGTGTTCAAAATTACAAACAACCACTGCAGTGCATATGTACGTGCAGCCACTTGGAAAGAGTGTAAGGGCCAAACTACATACTACTTTAAATACTTGGCAAACAACTATGTCTATGCTTCTCCCACTCCCCTCAAATGCAAGGGAGCCCTGTCCTAGATTAGGACCACAGCACATAGAGAAGGGGAAATCACAGCTTTCTGAAATTTGCTCCCCCACGCATGACAGAGGAATATTTTTCTTTTTCTTTTAAGGAGGCCAGGTCCCATCACACCACTGCAGGCCATTTAAAGTGATTCCTAACTGTTGCATTGCTTTCTGTGTGGCTAAAGCAAAAAGGATTCAACCTGCACTTCTTACACATTGTAGCCCAATCTAGAATTTTGAGCAAGAAAAGAGATGCAGCCGCATGGTGCTTATTAAAAGCAATGTGTTCTTACTTAGCCTTACAAGAGTTGCATCGACTTCTTTATATCCATTTAGAATGGTCATTCTTCAGCTCTAATAGATAATAATAATCCAGTGGGCTGTGAAATGTTTGTTTTTCATCAAACAGACAAAAGAGAAACCTCTGGATGTCCCCAAAGCAGGTCACCAAAGTGGCGCTGCATCTAAAATGGGAAGAATCCATAAGAGCACAACGGTTTCCAACTACATGGCCAACCCGGCCTGTGAAAACACCCGAGGAGATGTCTCATCCTGTCCTGGATGGTAAGCCGTAGGCTCAGAAAGACATGCTTGATATTTCTGAGCTGCTGTGGTCGATCATGTCAGAAAAGCCACTGTTGAAAAAGCGCCTCAGATCAGATTAGCACAAGAGACTGTGACAGCCTGCCAGGGTAAACAATACAATTAGCCTGGTAACAGGAAAAGCCTGCACTTAGCAGAAGTCGTTCTGGTCCATCAAGTAAATATTACCCATTAAAAACTGCTTAGAAAGCCAAAAGCTGGATGTATTCAATCAGTAATACAGATTTGTGTGGTGGCCCGTAACAGCTTTCGCAAGCTTTCATACACTTGTAATATGAATTTTTCCACTAGTGTTTGCTTTGGTTTTTCCCGTGCTCTTTTCCTCAACCAATGATGGCCACTACTCAAAACCCATTACAGTCTTTAAAGTCTTTCCACTGATTTCAATTCTTTTTGGACCATGTTTTGTTTGAAGAGAGGCTTCCTGTCCCTGCCCCCAGCAGAACACAGGCAGTGTAAGACTCTAAACATACTTTCAGGCACAACAGGCAGCAGGGGCTGTGGACCCCATGCGATCATCCATTAGGAGCACTCCTGCTGGTACCCGGTTCACTGGGTCTGCACAGCGTAAGCAATGGCTATTTTAAACAAGAAAACAGGTCTATTCATACTAGGGGTTGACTTGAATGCAATGTCCAGTTCCACTTAAATGAGACTACTCTGAGCAGGACTAACATTGGATAGAATGCTTCAAGTGCACACCAAATGTTTCTTCCCCCCCCCCCGCCCTTCAGAAAACTCTGCTCTGTGTGGCTAACCCTCTTTCAGCTGTTTGGGGGTAACAACAGCTAAAGCACAACAAAAGCTCTAATGTAGCACTTTGTTGTTCTTGAAGAGCAGACCTTGGAACCTCTCACTACAAACTGAAATGGCACCCCAGAGCATATGCCCGTGGGTCTGACCTTGAAGACTACTCACAGACTGCTTATATGTATACACCAAAGGCGGAGCACTGATGGCTAGAAATGCATTACACAGAATCTATACTGGCTCGCTATACCCCCTGGTGCAACTCAAGGTCTTGGTTTTGATCTATCATGTTCTCAACAGACTGAACCTTTCATGCTACGAAGATGGTTTTGGACATTCCCTTTGTCCAAGGATCTGAGTTTGCTGCCAAGTCAAAACTCACAATTTCATATGCTCTTCTCCACAGGAAGAACACTTATGCAGACATGGACCCTTTTAAAGATGGAATCTGCCTGTTTGGTCTAATAAATAAATTGAGCTTCATTTTCTAGGCACCATGTCATCAGAACAGACAGTCTCACTGCCCAGCTCTGTGAGCTGTGAGATACGCTGCCCAGTTTCCATACAATCTATAGGCTGTATGACACAGGTCACATAGGTGGACGGGTTGTGGACTGCATCTGTTTTGGTCCACCGCTCTCAGCATGGCCATGCATTGACTGAGCTGGTTACGGCTGATCAGAGTGGTAAGCCAACGCTGATGGAGCTGTAAAGGGAAGGAGAGACTGAGGTTCACAGCATACCTGAGAACAAGATGGTTGGGCTTCAGGGTCATAGGCAAGCGCTGAGACCGTAAACGAGATCCTTGCTTTTGCAACTCAGCCCAGCCTTTTATAAATGGCACCCTTGCGCCTACCACAGCCGGTCTTCTACAGCATCGCTCAGTTGGACCAACACCCCGGTTTCTGGAGTGTAAAGGAACTGGCCCTTCGTATGGGCAGCTTACTGCCAATGGACATCTGGACCCTGCAGCCACGTTCTGTTTGGATGGGAGTTTGCTGAGGCCGGGTCAGAGAAAGCAGAAGTGAAAACCGGGGCTGAGGGAAAACACTTTCCCTTGTTGCTACTTTTTCCTGCCACCCTTGCCGACGCTCCAAGATTATTCCAAACCTGCTCCTAAAACAAGCTATCAGGTGTGTGCGTGCGTGCGTGTGTAAGCATGTGCGTGTGCACTGGCAAAGTAGGGATGTGTGAGTTGATGCCGGCTGGGGCTGATGGGAGTTGTAGGCCATTCCATTTAGGAGGGAACTAAATCCAGAAAAGCTGCTGGTTGTAGTTGCAGGAGTTCACAAATGCATATTGATTTAAGGAAGCCATCACTGATACAAGACGACAAAGCATTCATAGTGCCCCCCGCCCCGGTGTGTCTGTAGTGCCAATTCACTCATCAAGCTGACATGAAATCCATTTGCTGTGGATAGCAAGGCGTATGGTAAATGTTTGGGGTGGGTTGTGGGTGGAAGCAAGTTTGTGGCAGCAAAAGCTACATGTCCTCTTTAATTTGTACTGTCTCGTGGGTGTGTACAAATCACAGGCCTCTGTATCGTTTGGCTTTTTGTTGATTTGCATCGTTCCTTCTGCATGGCAATCATCCTCATGCTGATCCACAT